TATTTTATGTATATTTTATATTATATTCACTGCATAACAATAGCAGTAGAGAGCCACTGATTAACTGTACAATGAACCCAAACAGTGAACACAATAACTGCTGGGAGTTTGTGTAAAACCAGAGATTTGGATGAATATTGAGCAGATTATTTCCTGTGAATATTGATCAGAGATGGGTTTTATTTGTATTAACTTTGTATACACTTCTTTCTGTATTATGTGTTTTTTTGTATTTAACAATCATACATACTAACAAATTTACAACTTTAAAAACAGTTAAAAAACATTTTATTACACCCCCTTAAAAAGAAGAAGGCCTCTTGACCCCCTGTGAAGCTTTGGCGACCCACAGTGGGGGTCCCAGCAACAGGTTCGGAAATTAGAAACATAGGAGTAAAGAAGCAGGTTTTGAAGACTGTAAAACTTTTTTCCCCCATGTTTTGGAGGATTTTGTTATCACCTTCTATTCACATCACTGGAATCAGTTTTTCATGTTTTGAACAAGGATTTGATGAGTGAAACCTATTTTTGTGAACTGGCATACTATTTCCTTGCTTTTCAAGCTGAATGTGCAGCCTAAAGTGCCAGTAGCCAAGACAGTGTGAGTTAAAATATGTTGTGTATTTTGTGATTCTTTTTGCTTCGAGTAAAGTGAATTGAGAAGCTGCATGCAACAGGTGTGGTTAGTTAGTGAAGTGAGGTTGAAACTCAAAAATAAAAGCAGAGATTCTACTCAACTAAATCTCAACTTGTAAGCCAACATAGACAATAAGTCCTTTAAGTGCTGTGAAAAAATGGAATTGAACATCTGTGACAACTGCTGGTTAAGATCATGTGGTATGGTTGAAAGCTTTTTTTTTTTTTCTGTATATAATTATAAAAATAAAACACTTAACATCTGTAAAACATCCTAATAAATACATTTTGATGAAGGCATCAGTGTCATCTACAGTATTTTTGGTGTCTGATCTAAAACTCAATTTTAAATTATAACGTCATCCGTTAACTATGATAGCTAGCGTATTTTCCTCTCCAGTGCAGTGGGTGGTCGGCCGGATGTCTTCTCAGGAAGCACCAGCTTCAGCTTCCTCCTGGGGGACGATCCTCCTTCTTCTAACAGGTACTCCTGCTGCAGCAATGCAGCAGTCGTAACTGCATCACCTGTAGAGGATACACTCTGTGTAGACATACTGGGTGCAGAGACACCTGATACGGACACATCTGCTGCCTGCATGCTGCCTCCTGACACACCTGCTGAAAGTCCTTCAGCAAGAGCCACAACCCCAGCTGATACACTGACTGTAGATCCAGCAGGTACACACCCGGTCTCTGTCTGACTGTTATTGTTCGACAAATTCTCTGCACTGGTCACTGGTGCGGGAGCCTGATGGGTCACCTCAGAAAAAACATCTGCATTTGGAGGTGTCTGAGTTCGGAGAGTGAGGCTCTCCTTTGACTGGGGTGCTTGAGATTCCAGGGGCTGCTGATTTGCTCCTCTGCTAGTCTGAAGGTCTTGTCCCTGCGCTGGATCAGACTTCAGTCTTGCTATAAGAGGAGAGCTGTCAGGAGGCAACTGGCTCTGCAAGAGAGACTGCCCAGGTGCAGGATTAAAAACTGGGTTTGCTGTAATGTTTGGGGCTAGTCCTGCAGGCTGGGTAGCTGAGGTATGAAGAGGAGCATTATGCATTGCATTTGCTTGCAAAGAGTTAGCAGTTCCAGTGTTAGCTAGAAGAGAGGTAGCAGGAGCCATGAGGCCTGCCCCAGCTTGTCTGCTGAAGCTATCTGAGGTACCAAATGGAGCCATGTTGGGCCCACCGATTGCTATGCTAGGAGCAATGGAATTAGCTGGATAGTTGGGGAACCGTGCATTAGATCCTGGGGTCATGGTGTTGAGCAGAAAATTCCCTCCTGAAAGAGCAAGGCTGCTGCCAGTCAGTTGTGAGCCTGCTGAGAAGGGATGCTGGGAGGAAAGTTGAGCACTCCCAAGAACCAATCCAGCTCCCTGATACTGAATAGTCCCACCCTGCAAATTTTGTCTCTGTCCAATGGCAATAGCAGAGGCTGATTGGTCAGCAGTATTAGTGGTATCAGCAGGTTGGGAGTTCTCTGGGTGTTTATTCTCTCCCTGGTTGCCTTCAGTACTTTCCTGCCCACCTGCCCCCCCTTTGGGAGTTATTTTGCTTTTCTGTGCTCCTCCTTCCTTCTTTTCCACACCATCCTCAGTCGATCCCTTAGTCTTGGTGGATTTCTTTGCTTTCTCGCTGCTACTCTTCGTTTTCTTACCAGACTTTCCTTTCCCTACCCTCTCTCCTCTCTCTTTTCCATCCGGCCTTTTATCTTTGCTCTCCTTTGGGCTGCTTTTCTCCGAGTGGCCATGCTCAGTTTTCCTCTTAGGATGGACTTTGCTTTTTCGTAGAGGGTTCAGGTTTAGTTTAACCTTCAGTAACCGGCTTGACTGGCCATTAGCTTTGTGTCTTCTTACTCTTCCACTGTCCTTGTCTCTGGAGGTCCTCTCTTCCTCCTTGTCATCGGCTTGACTGTTTCTGTGCTCCTGGGTTTTCAGCTTTTTCAGATCAAATGTTACATTTCTTGTTTCTCTTCTTAACTCTGTGTTCTTCACGATGTCAAACTGGTTGTGGTTGGCATTCCTACCCCTGTCAATGTGTCTGTACTGAGAAGGGAAGCCATTAAACAGAATCTCTGTGTCTCCCATGATGGTGTGAATCTTCCCTTGTCTTGTGTTCTGCTCTGGTGGTCTGTATGTCCTGTGGCAGCTCTCGCAGTGTAAATTCTCGTGTCCTCTGTTCCTCTGCCCTTCCATGTCAGTCCTGTAGCTCTCAGCCATCTCTCTGTAAACAGGCAGGGTCTCTTGTCTCTGACTGAAGGTTTCTTTCCTTGGATGGGATGAAGAGTTGGTGTTGCCATGAGAAAGAAGCTTGTTGGGGATATCCCTGCTCAAGATTATTCCCTGTTGAGTCCCGTTCCTCCTCCTTTCTTCCTCTGTCATCATCTTCACTTGCCTCCTCTCTATTTCCTCCTCTACCTCCATCCCCCCATTTATTCTATTGTTCCATCTCATCGGGTTCGGCCCCATCCCCCTCTGCCCTTCGGTGCTACAGTCCGGGCATCTAAAATGGCGGCTGTTTTCCTCAGCTCGGGACCTAAACTGGCGATCATGGCCATCTGTCCTTGCATCCAACGCCATGACTTCCCTGTCCCAAGGCTGGCTGCTATTTGCTTGCAAGAGGAGGTCCCTCCTCTTTTCTCTAACATCTAGGTGATTGACATGGTGATTTGCCATTGTGCTGCTTCCCTCTTCTTCCGTTTTCTGTCTTTTACTTTCTTTTCGTTTCTTCCTCCGAGACACTTGATAGTAGATCAGAACTACCAGCAGGGTCAGGACAACGCCACCTGAAGCAGAGCAGGACAAGTGATTTTAATGGGCATTTTGATTTTTTTTTTTGGATAACTTTTCAATTCTACATAAAAATGTCATGTAGCAAATTAATTGAGATCATATCCAGTCCAATGAATCCAGAAGATTTCTCTCTAAAAGCACATTAAATTCAGTTCATTAATGAAATTGTAGTAATCAACTGTTCACAACAGCAAAGTAAGTCCACTGAAATATTGCATCAATCATTAACTGTGTCAAAACATCTAACTCCACATAACCCTGCCCCACAGGGGATACCATTGTTCCTACGGCTCATTATTCCGTAACCTCAATAGTCTGAAAAATGTCCCATTTATCTGACAGCCCATTATCAGAAAAGCACACTCTCCCTAGAGTTTGTTGTCATGGTAACAATAATAAATACATGGTTAATGTTAGGAAATTGCCGCAGTTTTTTTGTTTTGTTTGTTGTGCACTAAAACTACTTGGTTAGGTCTATGAAAGGATTAGGTTTGGTTTAAAATAAGTACATTAGTTATGTCAGTTGCATAAGTAAGTTAGTGATACCAGAGTATGTATTTTCGGAACAAGGGGCCTTCGAAGCATGGATGTTTGTTTTCGGAATAATGAATGTTTGACTAAACAAAATACGTTTTGAAATCATTTAGGTGCATAATCTTAAATGCAATGTAGTTCATTTCAAACACATAGCATCTAATTAAGCAGCAAGTTGTGAGAGCTGACATTTCTGTGTTTTCAACTTTTTCAAATTAAGTAATCAGTGACATAATGGCACAACTTCTTTTGTTTAAATTCAACAAACCATTTTCTTTGATTTTGTTGTTAATCATTCTCACCTATAAAGCAGATGACTGCTGTGATGGCCAGATCTCGAGCATACAGCTGAGGCGTCACGCTGCCTCTTGTCTGTATCTGCACTGTGATGTTCTGATTGGACGGGACACAGTTGGCCTCGGTCAGCTCTAGCACCGTGGTTACAGCCGGGTTGTCGGCGCTCACACACACCATCCTACGGCCATTATAGAGGGTCTGAAAGCAGCAAGGGGGAAAGATGTCAGGTTTAGGTCAACTAGTCTTGTACTGATCATTTTCTCCTCAAAACAACTTGTTTCAGTTGGGTGATTGGACCCTTGTAAACCTGCACAGGTCTAGTTTCAATTGCTTCCACTGCAGTTCTACTAAATAATCTCATCAAATTACTTTACTACGGTTTTTTTCCAATAATATAATCTTGTGTTTTCTTCTACCTGGGACTACAGTGGTGATATGAGTCATAATCTTTAGTCACCAAATTAAATATGTTTCAATCATTTATTTTAATGTGGCAGTTCCTGGAACAAGTGAAGCTGCATTGGACAGGATTGAACGGGATGAAGAAAAACTGCACCTTGTCGGGTTCTTGTATGAAGGTGGACAGGAAGGCAGCCAGTTCCAGCAGCTGGCAGGAGCAGTTCCATGAGTTGAAGTCCAGGTTGAGGTTTGTCAGCCAGCTGAGGTAGGAAAAAGCCTCAGCAGGAGCCGTACTCAGACGGTTTCTGGATAGATCCAGAGTCTGCAGGCTCACCAACCCACTGAAGCTAAGACCACAAGACAGGATCTTACTGTACACATTACATTGGCGTTGCTGAAAGACTTTTCTTTCATTTCTTTAAAAAAAAATAAAAAAAAATATTATGAATATCAAATATAAAAAAATATTGTAGATGTATGAATGTATGGTAAATATGTAATAACCTGTTTCTTTCCAGATGATCTATCAGGTTATCTGACAGATCCAGACTCTCCAGAGCTTTGAGGTCATTCAGAGGAAAGGAACCAGAGTCCAAACTGGTAAGCAGGTTTCCCTCCAGCTTCAGGCTCCGTAGGGCCTTGCTACCTTTAAGCCAGCCTCCCTGGATCTGCACATCAGCACAGAGGAAATAGTAAAGACTTCACTCAAAGTACTCAAAGTTGTAATATTACAGATTCACATAGTTCTTTCTCAGTACAAGAAGAGGTCTGTGGAAGTTCTGCAAAACATCTACTGTGAGGTTTTTACGACCGCATCACCCAAACTCTTTAAATCAAAAATACAACAACCAGCTATTTCAAACATGTTCCCAGGTACATTTTTCCCCATTGCACCCACCATGCTGATGAGGTTGTGGCCCAGGGCGAGGACCTCTAGATGGGTTAGATTGGTCAGAGCTCCACCCTGTAGGGCCTGGCTGGTCAGGAGGTTGTGGTCCAGCAGTAAGGTGTGGAGGAAGGGCAGGTTTCTGAAGGACTGTTCTCCCAGCACTGAGATATGGTTATGACTTAGTCCTGACAGAGGGACAGAGTCTTATAGTTCATACTTGCAGCATTTTAAAGCCACTATATGTAGAATTAACCCCCTAGTGGGTGTATCAAAAAGACAATGTGGCAAACAGATACCTTGTTGCTGTCTTCTCATTGTTCTCTTCCTAGAGAAAGGATTAGCATGCAACAACCCACACATGTACATACAAATGCACACACACATACACAGACACACAGGTACTGACTGACCTATGACTGTAATGTTGCTGAGGTCAGACAGTGCGGCAGGCTGCACTGTGGAGATGGAGCCCTCTGTTAGCAGCAGAGCCTGGGTTGTGTCTGGAGCGTCTGGTCACACACACAGTTACAAACTGTATTTTAATTAGCTCAT